TCCTTGGAGGCAAGGGTTCTGAGGCTCTGTCTAACATATTTTGGACATGTTGTAAGGAGGGACCAGTCCTTGGAGAGGGACATCATGCTTGGTAGGGCGGAGGGACAGTGCAGGAGTGGAAGGCCCTCTATGAGTTGAATTGATTCAGTGACTGGGGCAATTGGGATGGGTGTATCGGAGATGGTGCGATTGGCATAGGACAGAGAGGAGTTTAGGGCTGTTGTACATAGGGTTGCTATGAGTGGCAAGCAACTTGACGGCACATAACAACAACAACAACATTAGCTTGTAGTTGAACATTTGTGTTGTTTCCATGTTCTTGTGATGGTGATTAATGCTGCTATGAACATTGGTGTATAAGTCTCTGTTTGTATCTCAGGTCTCCTTTACTTGGGGTATATTCCAAGCAGTGGAATAGCTAGGTAATATGGAATTTCTATGTCCAGTTTTCTGAGGAAATGACACTGTCTTCCAGGGTAGTTTTACCATTTTATAATCCCACCAACAGTGTATATGAGTTCCAATATCTCCACATTCTCTCCAACATTTATTACTTGCTGTCCTGTTAAACTTTATCATTGCTACTGTGGTGAGATGGTATCTCTTTGCGATATTAATTTGTATTTCTCCTATTGCCAGGGATTTTGATAATTTCTTCATGTGTCTGTTGATTATCCAATATCTTCTTCTGTGAAAATTCTTCGCATGTCTTTTGCTCACTTTGTAATTGTGTTATCAGTTGTTTTTTTTTTTGTTTTTTTTTTCTTGTAGAGGCCTTGTAAGATTCTGTAACATTTTTATATGATACCGTTGTCTGATAATGGTATTGCCAAATGTTTTTTCTCAGTCAATAAGTTTCCTTTTCACTCTGTTGGGAAAAGTTTTTAATAATGCTCCTAAAGATTTGATCTTTAGAAGGTCCATTCATCAATTTTATCCTCTCCAGGTTGTGCATTTCTGTCTGTATTTGGCAGTCTCTTTATACCATAATTAGGCCTTCTAAACTTGATCCCAGTTTGTCTCTGATGAACTTTATGTTTTTTTTGCTTTACTCCCAGATCTCTGATTCACCTTGTGTTGATTTTTGTTTATGGTGTGAGATGTGGACCCTGTTTCAGCTTTCTGCAAGTAGCAGTCCAGTTTTGCCAGTACCATTTGTTGAAGAGGTTGTCATTTCCCTATTCGATAAGCTTTATTTCCTTGTCAAATATTAGTTGACCATAGATAGCTGGGTCCATTTCTGCATCCTCAAGTCTTTTCCATTAGTCTGTGTGCCTGTGATTGTATCAGTACCATGCTGTTTTGGTTACTACCACTGTGTATAGGTTGTGAGGTCAAGCCTCCTGCTTCATTTTTATTTTTCAGGAGTGCTTTGCTTCTTCGAGGTCTCTTTCCTCTCCAGATAAGCTGGAAAATTTCCCTTTTGATCTCCTATGGAACAGTTTTAATCTGACACACATTCAGTTGCCATGAGTTTGAATTATTTAATGTCAACTGATTTTCTATCTTTTTAAATTTTTCATAAAATTATTTCCATGTTCTTTCAATTCTCAAAGAAGCTATTGAGCAATCAAATATTTATTATCTGAACTTTAAGGAACCACAGGGGGCTGTGGTAGTGTTTTCCATGAGGAGGTGAGCTCCCAACTCAAATGTGGTACCTCCTAGCAGTTTGAATCTACCAGTCACTCCATGCAAGAAAGATGAGCAAAATGCTCCTGTGAGATCTACAGTTTTGGCTGTGAGTCAGCTACAACTCAACAGTAATGAGTTTAAGGATTTTTTTTAAAGTAAGTAGCCATGGTGGTGCACTGTAGTATGTGTTGAGCTGATACCCTAAAAGCCAGCTGTTTGAACCCATCACTGTGTGAGAGAAAGATGAGGCAGACCTTCTCATAAGGATTTACAATTTTGTAATCCCACTACTAGGTATATAACCTGAAGGGCTAAGGGCTGCAACATGAATGTATACATGCACACTCTTGTTTGTTCCAGCATTATTCACAATTTCAATGAGATGAAAACAACCTGAGTGTCCAGAGATGAAAAGATGGATCAAGAAACTGTGGTGTATTAACATAGTGGAGTGTCATGAAATAGTAAAGAAAATAACGACAACCAGGAATTCCAGAAACACTGTATAACATAGATGAATCCAGGGAACATTATGCTTAGTGAAATCAGTTAATCTCAAAGAACAAACATGGTATAACATTATTATTCTAAAAAGCTAAAGACAGGTTTGTACATGTGTAGAATTATTTTGGGGTAGCCACCAGGGATGAGAAGGGAGGAATATAGAAGTAAACATTAATAAGTAGGTAAAAGACAGTTATTAAATTAGGAGTAAGGAGAAATGACACACAGCAAATGGATGATCAAATATTGTAGGCAATAATCACATATATTTTATATATTATAATGAAATTAATGTTATAAAGCAAAATTTTAATGAATTATTAAAACATTAGTATATTTTGTAAATTTTCACTCAAATCACAATAAAACATGGAAAATATTTTGGAGTTTGAGGGGTTTTAAAGATTTATAGCTTTGGAAATCCAAAGAAGAGTAAGCATGATGAGTTAGAATTGACTGGACAGGAACAAGTTTTTATTTTTTGGTTGTGAGACCTATGAAATTTTAAATAAATATTTTCTGAAATAACAGTTGATGAACGAGTATATACGAGTTGACACAAACAGTTGTATCAGGAAATGTTGAAGAAAATTGTTGAGATCTCATCCACGTTCATTCTTTTTAAAAAATTTTATATTGGTTTGCATACAAAATTGGTACACATTGTGTTTCACACATTCTTTTATTCACATTGTACTTCACATAATCATTCCTATACACTATGTTTTATAAAATTAATCACCATTGATCTATGCCTATCGTAACCCTGTCATTTCTAGTTCTTTAGTGTTTTATAGAAGGAGAAAAAAACTCACTAAAATCAACTTCATTAATTTCAGATATTTGAATTAACAGCTTTTCATAGCCAGTGCCCTCTTCCAGAAAAGCACAGGCTTCATAGAGGCGTCAAACACTTGTCATATAACCTTGAAGTCTTCGTTGCTGAATTAATCCAATATCTTTGTGATTTCTGAAGCAATTCCTAAGCCTCACTCTGGTGTGACTGTCATTCATTTCTGAAGTTTTCCTTTTGCATGTTCATTGATTAATTTACATTTTCAGCATAGGCCTTACTTCCAAGAATGCTTAAGCCTCACAACACCAATAACCAGCAGATGTGTGATGCTATGTAACATTCAGAGGCTAGGGGCCAGCTGACCCATCTCAATAATCCAACAGGTGAGAATGTTGTGGTCTGGAGAGGACAGAGGAGAGCCCAGGACATCATCCATGCTAACATGAAAAGGATTTGCAGTCCCTCCAGCTAATCTAGAGAGTAGGCCCTGTGACATGACCCAGGCAGAAGCTAGAGGCTCTGAACCTTCTTTTCTTCCAAACTTCATAGAGGATTTCACCATTGCCTCAGCATTGCTGTCTGGTTGTCTACCATGGATATCCAGCTCTTGTCTGACTTTAACCTGCTCCTAAACCCAGAGAGGCTAGGCCTCACCAACACCAGAAAAACCTGCAGGTTCCCTTACCTCCGGAGGGTGTGCCAGCTACTCTCCTGAGAAACTTCACCCACTCCTCCATCTCTGCCTGGGAGCTGGCCATGAGAACGTAAGGGTCCTGTCCCGCTCGATTCTGATACCACAAGGCTAGAAGAAGAAAGAGCACTTAGTAATGCAAATTTTAAAAAAAGAAGAAAAAATAAAAGAAAAATAAAAAAAAAAGAATAATGAGATTTCTGGGGAACCCTTGACTTCTGCTATGAGCAACTTCACTGAGAAACATTCAATTTTAGAATGATTCTGAAGGACCCTACTGGACATGAGAGCTGATGATCTGATGATAGGTTGAATTCAGAATTACAGCGTCCCAAATGATAAAAGGAGATAAAGTTTGTTGAATGTAAGACGGACTAAAGAAATCAGAGCCAAAGAGGATATGAAAGTTGTTTGCTAGTCTACAGGAGAGGGGAGTGGGGGAAAAAGAACAAATGGATTTGAGGACTCTGAAGGAAATGGCCTAACAAAAAAAGCTGTGACAGTTAATTTTATGTGTTAATTTAGTCAAAGGTTAGACTAGTTGCCATTCCACAATGTAATCTAGGGTAACACATTCAATCAATTTATTGAAAAGTAAATTTCCTTGGAGTGTGTTATCATTGCAGATAATAAATACAACGCATAAATAAATACAATGCAGGTCATTGTATACTGTCCTGCATATATCTCAAGCTTGCCTCCTGAACTACACATTTTAGACTTGTCAGCTCTCCAAATTCATGAATCAATCTCTTGAAGTAAATTTCTCTCTCTAGCTTCATTGATAAGGAGCTGTGGTGGCCTAATGGTAAGAAGCTGCACTGCAATCCCGAAGGTGCATGTGGTTCAAATCCACCAGCTGCTCCACAGGAGAAGGATGGGCATTCTCCTCCCACGTGATTTACTGCTTCTGAAAACACACTGGAGGGTCAACTAGGAGTCGGTTCTGACTCGAAGGTACAAAACAACAAACAGCTTCATTGAGATAGATAGATGATAGATAGATAGATAGATAGATAGATAGATAGATAGATAGATAGATAGATGATAGATATAGATGAGATAGAGATTGATAGAGATACACACACACACACACACACACACACACACACACACACACACATATACATATGCCCTTACATTCACACATACATATAGTTACATTTTTATGTGTGTGTATATATATGTGTATCAGGAGCTCTGGTGTAATAGTGGGTAAGCAATTGAGCTTCCAACCCAATGGCAAGTGGTTTGAATCCACCAGATGCTCTGAGACAGAAAAGGGGGTGATCTCTTCCCATATAATTTATAGTCTTTGGAAATCCACTGGAGATAACTGTGACTTGGTTCTGATTCAATGGTAATGTATGGCAATGTTGTTAAGTTCCACTGAGTTGTAGACGGTTCATAGAGACCCTATGAACAAAAGACCTGAACACTTGTATAACTTGTATAACTTTCATAGTTCCTCCATGGATGCCACTACTGCTTCCAAGCTTGTTTTAATTGGAAAGCACCAAACACTGTCCACCATGGGTAGCCATTATAGCATTTGACACATCACTGTCACAGTGTTTAGCATCACAGCAATGATGAGTTACCTCTGTACAGCAAATGGACAGATCAGATGTGTTTTTAAATAGGAGACCAAATCACATCATCTCACACGCATTAGTGAGTCAACATTCCACCCTAATTCTCACCAGAACCATCAAACAAGCCTCTGTGAAATCCGACTGCTGCAGACGATTTCCAAACTGTATTCCAACCCAACTCTCTCTCCTCTCCTCTCCCCTCC